CCAGTTTCATTGAGTGTCCTCTTATTTAATTAGGGAGTGTGGAAACTGGAACACCTAATATTCCTTCGCTTGTACCATCATTATTAGGGCTTGCCAAGCGGTGGCGAGCCTCGCTTGCCACCTGCGTGGTTCTGCACTCTGCGCGTGCGCAGATCGCTCTGTGCGGGCTCTTCCAGGTTGTAATCTACTCACCACAAGCGAGTAGATTACATTATTTGTCGAGCCCTGATCATTATTTTGTACCACAATGATTGTATTTTCTGAGTCATGGTTTAGTTAGGGTTTTTTGGCTTTGTGTTTATTTTCCCTATTTGTGAGTCCCTCCACAGCCTCTAACCACATCCTTCTTCTGGAAATAGCTGTTTCTGACATGTCTTCTACTATACATGCTGATTTCAAAGATCAGTATAACTAAGGTCTTAAGTCCTCTGTAGTAAACTGGACCTAAATTCTGTGCCAAGGTGACCTGGATTCTATGAAATTCTAATGTGGCAAAATAAAAATTCTGTCAGTGTGAGTTATTGTAGGTTTGAATAAATGAAATAAGAAAAAAAGAATAGTGCAGTGAGTGTATTTAATTCCATTGTGTTGCTAATTTTGATACTAAATTGATTTATTTTAAGCCATCCCCCCAGATTCTTCTTATGCTTAGTAGGTCTTTTGACTAATATATCGCCTTATAGAAGATATTCTGGAGAAGCTGCAGGGTATGGGATAATAGTGACTTTTGACACCCAGAAAATGTGGGAGATGGTAGGGGTATATAGTACTCAGGAAACTTTAGCAATGAAGAATAGATGCATCTTCCCTCCCCCTCCCTCTTTTAGGCACTACTGTGACTTTTTAAATGGGGAATAGGGTCCTTTGGGATCTCTTCCCTATTTACACTTTTTCTTACATAATGACTCCCATTATCTCCTTGTTATAATGACTTACCTTCCAAAAAAAGTTGTCTGGACGCACATCTCAGGTTTCTGGGTTTTTTACCACTATGTTAAGTGCCGTTCATACTCTGAATTATTAATAATAAACTATTATTAGCACTTATTTAACACTTTTCACCAGAAGGGTACTCTAATTTGTTGCACCCTTGCTTTTTGTTCTTTCCTTAGTTATTAAGTTGCATTTTTTTTTTGTTTTGTTCATGCCAGTAATATAAAGTTGGTTGAATGCACATTGGTATACACTGAATATACAGCAGGGGTGAGCAAGAGGCAGATAGCAGGCAGGATCTGGTCCTTGGCTGCCTCTTTCTCCTTTGTAGAGAGCAGCTGCTTTTTATATAGCAGGCTGCTAATTGCTATGCAGTCTGGGCAGGTAGGAGAAAGCTTCATGCACTGTCCCCGCCCCCAGCAAAATCCCTTTGCTCCCATTGATGAGTTTCTGGCCAATAGGAGCTGAGAAATTTTGCTGATGGCAGGGACTGCGATTGAAGCCTCCTCCCACTTTGTGCTGGAGCAGAGCCACATGGAGCAGCTTGCCCAGCACACAGGCAGGGTTCCTGCAGAGCTGCTGGCTGGGAGCCTCCTAGGTAAGTGCCTCACAGCGAGAGCCTGCCTCTGGCACCTCACCCCCTCTCTCCCCTCCAACTACCTGCCCCAGGCCACCATCCAAATCCTCTGTATACCCTCTCCCCACCTCCTCCAGATCACAGTTCCCCCACAGACCCTGCACTTCCTCCCCCAGGCCGGACTCTCTTCCTGCACACATACCCCGTGTTCCTCGCCCAGAATCCTCTTCTGCACCCATACTCCTCCCTGACCCTGCATCCCATTCCCCTTCCCCTATCACCACCAAAACCCTCCACAATTTAGCCCACTTCTCTATACATCCTAATGTCATATCACTAGGCATCTTGCACCTCCTCCAACTGCTCTCCCCCAAGCTAGAATCCTCTCCTGCACCCATAACCCTTCCTGGACCCTTCACCCCAAGCCATTACCTAAAATCATAATCCCCTTCTTCACCCAAACTCCCTCTCAGACCTCACACTCTCTCCTGCACCCCAGTCCTCTGTCTCAAACTCCCTTCTACATCATACCTGCTGTGCTAGACCCTGTGCCCCATCCACAGAAGTGCAGCCCTTGACCACTTACTAAAATCTTGGAGTGACTCCCCATTAAAAATTATTGCCCACCCCTGATATACAGTAATACAGAGACAATTATGCCCTGTGTACTTATTACTAAGTTATATATGCTACAATCTGTGGTAAATTGTACATGCTGCAATCTGTTGTTTTTTAGGTTTTAGGCTACAGGCTACGACTCCATTTTGATGAATACTTGGATTGTTATGACTTCTGGGTGAATGCTGATTCTTCAGACATTCATCCAGTTGGATGGTGCGAGAAAACAGGTCACAAACTTCACCCACCCAAAGGTATTGTCTAACTTTCAACTTAAAGATTTATCTTTCACACAGTGGCTATCCATGTAATGCTGAATTTTTTTTTTTTTTTTTTGGCGGCAGCAGCATTTTCCTTCATCTTGATAAGATTCTGCGATCAATCCGTCTTTCTTTTATTCAGCTGATTGGGGGTTCTTAAATGGCATACAGTAGCATTGTGAATTGCCAGTATGGTACACAACTGCTATGTCTAGATTTATATTCCAAATCACAATGCAATAAGGGCAGTCCACCTACTCATTTCTCCTTTGCTTCCATCTTATGACTGTAGCTAATTAGCTTTTTGAGCTGATAGCAATCATTGTGAAAAGGTGGAAGAAAGGTAAATGCAAAACATTAATGGATCCCGCAGAGCCAGATGAGTGAACAAAGAGACAAAGGGAAGGAAAGACTGCTTTTGTGTGAAACTGCGAGTCACTAAAAAGCAAAACCATACAAATAGTCATTCAAAGGGTACTATCAGGAGAACATTATGGGAGGATGAAGAGACCAAACTAACCCCAAAATAAAAGCAAAACACATAGACTTTCATGGAATATTAGTGCTTTGTACATTTTAAAGTCCTCAAACTTGTAAGCCCTTGAAGAACTTACAGTGGGTGCCCAAAATGAGGCCCGAAGGCCAACTGTGGATTGTTTAATTATGCCCTATGGCTGACTTATTATTATTCTATTATTTATAAACAACCATCAGTGTACATGGAGCTGTACAGAAAAACAAAGATGGTGTCCCTGCCTCGAGAAGAGAGTTTGACAGACGATGCGAGGTGACAGATCAGGATGGGAAAATATAAGGGTAGCAGGCTACAAAATAACAACATGCAGTATATTATCTGATGTATACTAATTGAAAATAGGACTTATTCACTTGCTTAATTATTTTGATTTTAAATATCTAAGTATTTTAGTGTGGGAAGTGGAGGCTCTACCCATTATCCTCATGAGGCAGAAAGTCTGTGATCACTTCCCTGGTGCCACAGTACTCCACACTGCCTCCCAACAATGCAACTTCTACATTCTACAGTTGTAATGTTGCCCTGCACAGTTAGAGTGTGTAGAAATGGTCTTTTATTGAAACTGTTTAAAATATTTCCTAAAAGCTATTCCTCCTTGCCCCCATCCTCTTGGAATCATGGGCTTCATGTGCTGAGTGAAAAGGTAGTTGCATATCCAGTTGTTTGAACACTTGTTCTGGCAGTATTCGCTAGGCTTTGTACTTAGTGGTATGGTTTTGTTAGCTTGCCCCTTAAATCCGCAGTGTTGGAGGCTTATTTATTTTGTAGTCATAAAATGCAGCTGCTGTACAAGATCTTGTTCTCAGTCATTTTTTCATAAAAAGTCATTTGTGGGGAAAATTTCAGGTATTTTTTGCTGTTTTTCTATATTGATTTTGCATTTTTTTTATATTATTTCCTACCACTCTTAAGGCCTCATGTGATTGCTAAGCCTCCTTTTAACTAGGGAAGGGGGAAACTGCACCCTGTTGTTAAAACCCTTTTGCAGAACTACTTCTATTAGAAGGGGTTCAGTATACAGTGCAGTATGTTTCTGCTGTCCGCAGGACATCCCAGCTCTTTGGGATAACAGGATTTTGCTACTTCACTCCTCTTCAGGGCTAGTACTTACATTCTGGGCTCAACCCTTTGGGCTGGCTTGCTTTGTTCCACCCTAGGATTGCTTCTCGTCCTTGTCAAGTGGTCCATTGGATCTCTTCTCTTCCTGGCCAGATGTGTTCATTGCTTTTCCACACCTTCTCCTGAATAAGACTGTTAATAAGACTGTTGCCTTGTCGTTAGTTCTGATATGCTTTTACCTCCCTCTAAGTGTTTGCCCTATTTCACAGCAGTTTCTAGGTCTGAGTTTAGTTTCTATAACTGCTGTGCAAGTGGGGTAGTTATTCCCCATCCACAAAGGAACTGAATGTGCTGCTTCAACAGCATGAATAGCCATGGTTGGCTCTGCTAGCATGACATGAAATTGAACCTGACCATTCTGTGTGATGGTGCAGATGTACAGCATGTTTCTAAGGGAATAGAGAAGGTTGATACTGCTGTTGCATTGTGGGTTCTCTTTGTGTCAATGACAATAGCTCCTATAATTAAAAAAGTGCTCTATCCCCTTTCTGGAATATTAATTGGCACAGACAAAAGGCCCCTTTATTTTCTGAGGTAAAAGAGATCCGCATGAGATTTGATTATGGTCTCATTCAAGCTAGGTTTACTGCTGCATAAGTCTGTTGACTTCAGTTGAAGTATTCCTGATTTATACTGGAGTGAGCTCAGTTGGGTCCACAGCCGTGCCACAGTTTGAGTCCATGCTTTTGCTTACCTTAGCCCAGCCTTTCCTTGTTTTCTTTTATGCCTTTCAGCTTGACTTCCAGCTCCTGCAGCCACTTAACCCTTAGGGTTTCATCCAAAGTTTAGAAAACCTGCCTTAATGAAAGTATCTAACCTTGCACCTGGATAGCCTTAGTTCTAATGCTAGGATTTCTTAGGACTCCAGTGGCCATAGTCAGAGTTTAAGGCTGGGAGCAGGATTCTTGTGGCTTGCTGTCTGTTGCCATGGAGAGGGAAGGCACATTGCAAAGACTGATATGGAGAGGATTGAGAATAAACTGCTCATTCCACTTTATTAAAGGTACAAATATTCAGTAGTAGGCATACGTAACAGCATGCTTACCCCCCAAAGCTAAACTCCTTCCTTTTACCAGATCATCTGCTTAGCCCTCCTATGTATCCCAGGCCACCAACCAAATCCAGCACCAGTATGGTCAAACTGCAGTTGTTGAGTATTACAGTATTACAGTCCCTGCAATTGCAGGGAAATTATTAAATGAGAGAGACCCAGATCATCCTGGCATGTTAGCTATTCTCCATCATATGTCAAACATGGAAAAATCTTTGAAAAGCACTTCTTTTTAATACATACTGGAACTATCTTAGAGATTCTTCCTGCATCTGGCAGAACTTAGATTTTTGCAAAGGCCGTGATAACCTTGTAAAGAGACAGACAGACAGACATACTTAATTTTACATACCATCAGTAGTTCTTCTGATTACTACAGGACTACTCTCAATGCACCACTATAAATATTTGTGTACATCTTGTGAGTATCAGGGCCCTAGAAAGTAGAGAGAAAGAAACAGTCTGTTTTTAGAACTTTTTGTCTAGCCTAACGGTTCCAAAATGTTCTTGTGATTTTTTTTTTTTTTAAGTGTTAAGTCTAGTGTTAGTGTTTAGTGTTAAGCCTTTTCATCATAGGCAGCACACTGTGAGGCTTCTGAAGCCCATTCATAAAGAACCTGTGAGAACCCTTTTCTAATTTCCATTGTCATGTAAGACATGAAATTGCACATGGAGAGGAAAAAAAAGAATACAGCCAGTCCCCGACTTTTGAATGAGTTACGTTCCAAACACTAGGTCATAACTCGATCTGTTCGTAAGTCAGATTACATTCACTTATGTACGACCACACTGTTCATAAGTGTGGATTTTGTTTGTAACTCGGGGACCGGCTGTATAGGAAGTTGGTTGTAAATATGAACAGTCATAAGTCGATGCATTTGTAACTTGGGGACCGGCTGTATTCAGGAATTTCTGTTTATAAAAGGTAGACTTATAGTTGGGTAGGTTGCCCAGTGAAGGTGATTTTTTGTTGTTGTTCCAGTAGTTCATCCTAAGCTTCTTGTGTGGTTTTTTCCCATAGTATATCTGTAGTTCTACAGAATTTCAAAGTATATTCAATAAACCACTGTTTTACATGATATGTCACCAGTATTTATCTCTGGTATGTGTTTCTGTTTTGGATAGTAGGGGGTTTTTTGTTTTTGTTTTTTGGGTGTTCACTAAGGGTCATGAATCAAGAAGTAGACTAAGCCTATTTTGCAGTTTGATTATATTATGATGATTTTCTCTGTAATAGGCTACTTGTTGAAACCACACAGATGTTAAAGTTGGTACATTGTGGCATCTTGCTTAAGGACAATATTGCATCAGTGTCACATTATACCAGTGCTGTAAGGATCCGCACTGGCAGCCAGTATTTTCCAGGTATTGGATTGGGTTGATTGGATAATCAATAAGTGTTTGGAATCTCTTTACCTGGATAATTATCTGTCTCTTTGTGCAATACTGCCAGCAGAGGAGCTTCAGCTGAACCTTTTTGATTTTAAAGGAAAGGATGCTGCCATCAGGGTATTCTCCAGGCGAGGTTTTGGACTCATGAATTCACTCTATCTTTGTGTCCAGAACCCCAACTTATTAACATTTGGGATTGCTGTAAAGTCCATCTTTTCTCCTGGGAGTTTAGTAATAAATGGGCTTTGGAGTGGGAGTATGCTGTTGTTTGTGTCTGCTGCTGCATATTTGTATCTTTATTAATGTAGAATGAACAGTTTATTCTCAGTCCCCTCCATGTCAGTCATCACAGTGGGCCTTTCTATCTCCATGGCAGCAAAGATAACTAGCCACAGGAAATCAGACATTGTGTGTTGTTCAGTGCTAACAATTGAATAGTAGGGCTGGCTGGAAAACAAGAATTATGCTTTTAATTAAAAATTTCAAAATTACTTTAATTCTCCATTTGAATGAAATGGAGACATTTCAAAAAATGTACAAAATGAGGCAATGAGATGTCTCCGCTCCCCCGACCCTGAGTAGCCAATAGCCATGTGGTCAGACTACTCAGCTGGAATGTGGGAGACCCAAGTTTAAGTTCCAATTCTGGTTTGGAGTAGGGGTTTAATCCCAGTTTTCCCTCTTCTCAGGTGTTTGTCCTAATCACCGAGCTATTGGATATTCATGGGTGGATTTTGTCTTTGGTTTTGAGTAGACATTTCATCCTGGAAATCTCAACAAATTTGGATTATTCTGATGACAAAGGTTCTGTCAGTAAAATCCTGACCAGCTCTTTTGAGCAGGCTGCAGTGAACCCAACTCATAGCCAACATGTGGGTGAAGTCCATGTCCAGATAC